ACCGCAAATGTTATTGCGCAATACGTGTGGCGTAATTCTTCCATATGTGATATTACGCAATCGGAATCAACACTTGTCGGTATTCGGAGAAAAAAGAACTAAATAAAGGGAAAAAAAGAGACTTACTAATCTGGGGTGTTTCTGATTCTAATTTTCAACGGACTGTATTAAATTTCCGGAATAGAATCAATTTTCGCTTGGGTTGGGTAGACCGCAAAAACTTTTAGTCCTGTACAATCCAGATTGGACAGTGACAAAAAAAAAGTCCGCTGCTTCAATATTAGAGATTTTGTGGAGAAACTTCCAACTTCCGTACTGTATAATGTATTGGCAAAGAAAATGAAATTATTTTGACTATTCAATTACTTTCCTTTTATTTAAGCCATTCCGCATATTATTCTTTAGAAAGCTAATCTGTGTAAAAACACACCCATTTTTGGAAGTTTATCTATACTTCAGCAGTTACTGCAACTATATTATTATAAATATTCATACATATGCTCATAATATAAGCATAACGATCATAATAAACACGAATATGAACTGACCACGCGGAACGAGAATGCAAATTATTAAAATCTTGATAGAAATTCAAACGTGTGTAGTATTTGGGTGGGAAGAAAAGAGTACCGAATGTACCGGAATTTTCTACGTTTTCGCAATTCTTTGGCCAATAGAACGACGTGCACCTGTCTGTACTCTCGCGCGCACCATAGGTTACGTTAATGCAGAGGAAGGGGGGAAAGCAATTTTCAGGAGTATGATTCACCATCTGACGTTGCATATAAGAAAGAAAAGTTGTTTATTTAGTTTCGGCTTTGGTACGGGAAAAAAACGCGCGTTCATTAAAAACAAAGGATAAAAAAAAAGCACTAAAAGCAAAAAATAAGCACTAAAAACAAAAAAATAAGGACTTTAAAGAAAAAGTAAGCACCTATAAGGGCCTTTATATTTCATTTTCAAATATAAGGACTTATAAGCACTTGACCGCTACGAACCCTGAACTAGAATTATGCGTTCTAGAAATAATATCATAGAGGAAATGGAAAAACAACTGTCTATATGGATTGACGACGAAATTGACCGCAATATGCCATTAAGCCAATCTATCATAATGGAAAAAGCTAGAAGAATTTTTAATTACATTCAGGCTGAGACAATCGACAAAAGTGAACTTTCATTGCTATTCGAGGATGGTTTAATAGATTTAAACATTGAAATAACCTTCACAACATAAAGATTACAGGAGAAGCAGCAAGTGGTGATACAAAAGCGGCGGCTGAATTTCCAGCGATATTAAAAAAAATAATTGAAGAAGGAAACTATCCTCCAGAACTGGTTTTTAATGTTGATGAAACAGGCTTGTTTTGGAAAAGAATGCCAAAACGAACATTTCTATCCCGTAAAGAGAAATGGGCACCAGGATTTAAAGCTGCAAAACATCGCTTAACACCTTCTACTAGGTGGTAACGCAAGTGGAGATTTTAAATTAAAACCATTACTAATTTACCATTCCAAAAACCCAAGAGCGATGAAAGGCATATCTAAATCAACTTTACCTGTAATTTGGGAGTCTAATAAAAAATCATGGATAACTGCGAAAATTTTCCAGGATTGGTTCACTGAACATTTCTGCCCATCTGTTAAACGTTATTGCGAAATTAAAAAACTTGAACAAAAAGCACTTCTGTTAATTGATAATGCTCCAAGCCACCCAACAAATTTATCAGACTTAACAACATGCATTCCAGTCGAAGTGGTTTTCTTGCCGCCTAACACAACTGCCTTAATTCAACCAATGGACCAAGGCGTTATATCAAATTTTAAGGCTTATTACTTGCGGCGAACCTTTAAGCAAATGTTTGAAAAAACAGATGGAGAAGAGAACCAGTCCATAAGAAAATTTTGGGAAAACTACAACATCGTGGATGCTGTAGAAAACATAGGCCTTTCTTGGAATGAGGTAACAGAAAGATCTTTGAAAGGAGTATGGAAGAATATTTGGCCGGATTTAAGTAAGAGCGATGACGTTGGACACTCTGTCGATGTGGATGAAATAGTGGAAGAGATAGTGAAATTAACGAAGCAAACCGGTTTTGAAGGGGTAAATGTGGAAGATGTCGTAGAAATAATTCAAGAAGCAGCGGCTAGTCTTTCTAATGATGAGCTCAAGGAATTAACTGAACAAGAAGAAAACAAAAATGTTGACAGCAGTGATTCAGAAGAAGAGCAAAAAGAACTTTTGATGGCGTTTGTAAAAAGGAGTTTGTCTACCATAACTGAAATAATGGATCAATTCATTGAAAATGATCCGAATTTTGACAGGAGCTCAAAAGTAAGGCGTGGTGTTAGAGATGCTCTATCCATTTATGAAGAACTTTTAAGAGAACAACGCAAAAGAAAAAGGTCAAACAACATTAGATGCTTTTGTCACAAAAAGGCAGAACACTGAAAACGCGGAAGGCTAACTAAATATGATTGACTTAGAATTTTATTTGCTTTTTTTAAGAATATTCGTTTTGTTATTTATATTTTGTTTTTATTTTTGCAAGAAATAATAATGGTGGTATTAATTTGGGCTTTAAGAAATAAATGTTTGGTTTTATTTTTATTAAAAAAACATAACATACTTTTTAAATTTAATACCTAACCAATTTCCTAGCCATCTTCCCCTAACCCCAATATTTACATGTAAAGATAGCCTCGTTTAGCGCTGTTTCGCATTACGCTCTACTTTGATGGAACGTATCCCCCACATTAAGCGGGGTCTTACTGTATGTGCTTTTACCGAGTTTAAAGATTCACAAAATTTTCCTGCAAATTTTTGTAATTTATGAGAAAATAGCAGTGTAGATGGATAAAGTCAAAAGTGTGCGCAATGCCATTTTTGTACAATTCTGGGATGTTTTTTTAAGTAAAAATAAGTCAACGTGTACATGGTTACTGTGTATGTGCGATTCTGAAAAACGCAGCAAGGAGTTTGCCATTCTGCACTTTGTCCCAATTTTGCAGTTAATATTTGTCATGATTAAGCAGTTTTGTTCCATAAAATTTGTAGCATAAGTGTAATTCGGCTAGCAGATTGTTGAAAAAAAGTGTTGAGTAAATAAAAAGAAAAGAAACATGTCTTTACTTCGTGAAGACAAAATGGCGGCGAAAAAAAAATAGAGGGTTGCTGTAGCAGAGTTGGTTGCCAAATTTTCGCGAAAAAATCGCCAAGTTTCCATAATCCAAAGATTAACCAGAAAGGGGAAAAGAGCATTACTTGACTGGTGTGTAAATGAAAGTTTACTTAGTAAGCTTTATTAAGTGTCTTGTTTGTAGGAAGGAAATGCGCATGGTTGGACGATACGTCGCTACGGAGGATATTTTTGAATCTTATTTTCTGAATTTACGTGGCAATGTCAGTATACAGATTCCAGTTCAGATAATTTCAGGAAGTTTTTGGATGCTGTTAAGGAAATTCGTTTGACTGAAGACGTGTTAGTTCGTAAATAAGGTAAGTGGGTATTTCCTTTGTGTAGTGCAAAGACGAATTTCCTTTTATATGTTATTTCATTGTTCGATTTAAAATGTAGTTTATTGAGATTATATATATTTTTTGTTGGCTGCTTCTTTGACTTTTTAAGGGAATATAGTTTGATGTGTACTTGGACAAAGTCAAGGCATTGCACAATGCCTAGTTTGTGCAATTCTCTGATGTTTTTTTTTCAAGTGAAAATAGGTCGATGTGCACGTGGATAAAGTCAAGGGAATGCACAATGCCAAGTTGGTGCAATTCTGGGATGCTTTTTTAAGTGAAAATAGGTCAACGTTTACATGGATAGCGAGTTTGTTCAATTCTTTGTCTTGTTATTTTGGCTGTGTAGCTGTGATTTTTTTGCCGAAAATCGGCGCTACACAAGCCAAAATAACAGGTCAAAGAATTGCATCAACCCCACCATGTAAGCAAGATTCTGAAGAAGATTAGGTAAGTTAGTATTTTTAATTATTTGAGGATATTATTTTTATGCATGGTTCTAAATGTAAGGTGGAAGTAAAGTAATTTGGTATTATTGGGAAAATTGATATTAGCAATGATTTAGTTAAAATAATTAGGATTGTAATCTTATTTTTATTAATTTAATGTATGTGCTTATTTATATTTTAAGTAGTTTTTGAATTTAATTATATTTTAATTAAATGATAGTTATTTTGTGAATTTTATGTTTGTAGGAATTTGGTATACGTTTTAGTTGAAGTAAACGTGCATGGAAATAATTTAAATATTTGACACTAAGTATTTGTAATGCTTGCGGTATGAATTCGTTGGTGACGTTTATAATATAATAGATGATTTAGAGGTAAAAGTTTTTGGATATTTTATTTATTTTATATGTGGAAATGTTCATATTTGGAAAGGGTATATACTTTTTCGTGATCAGGTAATTTCATATATGTTCTTTTTACCGGGTTTAAAGATTCAGAAAATTGTCATGTATTTTCGTGAAATTTTTCTAATTTATGAGAAAAAAGCAGTGTACATGGATATAGTGAAGAGTGTGTGCGCAATGCCATTTTTGTGTAATTCTGGGATTTTTTTTAAAGTAAAAATAAGTCGACGTGTACATGGTTTATGTGTATGTGTTATTTTGAAAAACGCGTAAGGAGTATGGTATTGTGCACTTTTTCCCAATTTTGCAGTGAATATTTGTCATGATTAAGCAGTTTTGTTAGATAAAATTTCTAGCATGAGTGTAATTCGGCTAGTAGATTGTTGGAAGAAGTGTTCAGTAGATAAAAAGAAAAGAAACATGTCTTTACTTCGTGAAGACAAAATGGCGGCGGGAAAAAAAAAATAGATGTTTGCTGTAGGAGAGTTGGTCGCCAAAAAATAGCCAAGTTACCATAATTCAAAGATCAACCGAAGTTAGCAGTTCCTGGTTACCAATTTATGTCTCATAGTTATATAGTTAGCCGAATCAAACGTCATTTCAGGATACATAGAGGAATCCACTTACCTGCAAACTAATCAGTTGCTTATGTAAAGTCTCCTTCAATTCAGTAAGTTCCTCTAAACTTCTCGTGACGTTAAGATCCAGTTGCCGAAGTCTGCTTACCGCAGGCATTCCGTTATACAACACAGTAACGTATCGGATACTTTTAATATTCTTTACTATTATTTTGCAACAAAATTAAATCCTAAGCAATGCCGCGCAATATAACTGAAATTAATTTTCGCATGTCCACATACTTCGTTGACAAAATAAACAGATGGTTTGTTTTGCACTCGCTAAGTGTTTCTGTTCGTAAAAGGAAAAGTTAAGTGCAAAGGCATGGCAAATAGAAAAGAAGACGATTTCGGGTTACAGTTCGGAGAGCAGACTTACTTGGAACAATTTGGCTTCTTTAAAGATGTGGGTTACCCTTTATTGCGCAAATGGAAGTAAATATTATGTAGCTAGAGAGAGGAGGAAAATTTGCTCATACGTTTTAGAGAAATGTTTACTTATATTTGACTGATGATTAATGGTAGGAAAATTAGTATATCCAATTATGGATAAGGTTCGGAGAACAGCCTTAACGCCAAAACGGGGAGAAACAGCTTATTATGGTAGACCACGTTTACCAAACAAATAGAAACACATCTTAATCTGTTATTCCCGATGTATTTTCCTTTTCTCCCTAGCACCTATTCCCCACATGATATTTACTTCCGTTGGCATAATGAAATGTCGCCCATATCCTTAAAGAAGCCAAGTTGGTGCAACCAAGGCTGTTCTCCGAACCTTATCCAAAATTATTTCTAATTCATGCAAATTATATATGTCAGAGGAAATATATTTCTTTATAAATTAAAAAATTAACCGGTTACTTTACGAGAGTATCTTGTATACTATCTAAAAATATTATTACAGATATGTTTTTTGTAATCATAAACAGTAAGTTAAAATAAGAATGATATAAGTTTATAATGAATATCGCACCCCTTGCAAAAATACATCTACATTACAAAAACTCTTGCGGTTCCCATATACACTCTTGCTAAAAAATAAGCAACAAATCCTAAAAGACAAGGTACGAATGTGGAAAGGGTAATTGATACATCCAATTTAAATATGAGGTAGAGGTTGTATCGCCGAATGCAAATAACTAACCAAAATTAGCATAAAATGCAATCCTGCAGTCTTAGTACAACGACTTAAAAAGGGGCTGGACCTATCCATCACTTCGGCAAACAGCTAGAGTTCCGTGTAATCTGAGATAGCCAAAGCGGAAAGCATGAGCCGAAGACACCATTTGCAGGATGAAATGCTGTGGAGGGCTATCAGTATATTGCAAGCTGGTGCAAGACAGTCCGCTGTTGCGAGAGAGCTGAATGTGCATCGAAGTGTCATCAAAGGGCTGCGGAATCTTTAGCAAAGGGATCAAAACTCCTGTAGAAGACGTGGGTCTGGACGTCGCAGGATTACAACAGTAGCAGACGTTCGCTTCCTGTTGCTATGTGGATGACGCCACAGATCACTAATAGCACTACAGCTGGCGTGGTATCTTTCTCCTGGTGTAAAACGGACCGCATCCCGCCAAACTGTGTCACATCGATTGCATGAACGTGTACTGTTCGCCTAAGAACCTGCAGTTTGAGTTTCTTTGTCTTCATCGTATGCCAGAGCGCTGCTGAACTGAGTCCGTGAACACTAGAGCAGCAGTGGACACTAGAGCAGTGAGGCCACGAACTCTTTACGGATGAGTCTCGATTTAACATCCAAAACGATTCCCTATGGGCAATGATATGTTGAGAGCCAAGGACACACTTTCCAGCGCCAAAGATCGTCGAAAGAGACCATTACAGAGGAGAAAACTTACATGTATGGCCTAGGATAGCAATGAACGGCCGCACCGACCTCTACGTGATTCTTGGTCATTCCGTCACAGCCGTTCGATATCTCAAAGAAATTCTGCACCCTGTTGTGAGTTCTTTTATGGCTGCAATAGGTACCGACGTAATATTTGTTTACAATAACCCGCACCACCTATAGAGCTCGAGTGGTGCGGAGTTGTCTGGAGAGTGAAACCATTCCACATCCGCTGTGGCTTGCTTGATCGTCGGACCCGAATCCCACACAGCATGTATGGGACATGTTGGAACGACAGATAGCAGGTTGCAGTGTGCCGCTAGGCACCCTCCACGAGCTCCGATACGCATTACTGCAGGTATGGGCGCTACTGCCATAAAAAGCGATCAACTGCACTATTGCCAGCTTGCCTGCGCATTCTTCAACCCATTTGGTTTTTCGCAATGTGATGGTCTGTGTATTTTTGTATGTTTTTGCTTTATTGTTTGCCCGTGTGGTCTAATAGTGCCACACTAACCTTTTAGATTAGTTTCACGAATATCCATTAAATAGTTTAGTCCATGCTTTACCTTTATTGCTTATTTTTTTAGCAAGAGTGTATTAAAAAGTTTCCATAAAATCCCATAACATTTCTTCCCGAAGAAAATAAGTCTTGAGAGAGAGAGAATCTCAAGAATCTCAAAGGAAAGTAATTATTTTGCCATCCAAACTGATAGTGTGTGATAAAACCCACAGCAAAGTTTGGGCAGACGGGGAAAAAAATTAGCATTAGGCATATCAAAGAACACCTGTTGTCGAAGTAATTCGGGACATTCCTGTGGAATCTAAATGCGTGCGTTAAAATAGGAACAAATAACACCTTTGGGAACAGATTACAGATCGCGTTTTCTATTAGTTAAGCAGCTGTAAATAATTTAGCCACACCGGCTTTCTTTTTTTTTTTTTTTTTTTTTTTTTTTTTTGCTTATTACGTGCTCCGCCCTTAGGCACTACACGAAAGGGAGGGATGCCCCGTGGAGGTCTTTTTAAGGGAAACTGGCTCGCATCCACGTTACACATGGGGAAAAACACGAAAACGCCCATGCAGTCAGCCCGTTCGCAAAGACTCGAACCCTGGACGCGAATTACCAGTGTTCTGTGGCTTTTACCGCTCGGTCGCTTGTGAGCCCACAGCACCTATCGGCAAAATACAGTTGGATTTAATGAAGCTGTTTTACGCCTTAAATAAGAAAACACCCAACGGAGTAAACAAGGTTTTGACAGCTGTGAGGAAAACTCTTTATGACTGTTATAATCATAGTTTCTCCTGTGGATTTAAACCGTTAAAAGATTGCTGACGTTTAGTATTCTGATCGACTCTTACAGCAAAGCTTGAGATTAAGCTGTTTTAGCGAATTTTCTGTTTTAATGAAAAAAGATTGAAATGCTACTTTATTGCTGTTCTACATTCGTGAATTTATTTTATTTATTTATTTATTTATTTTGTACTTATAAGCATTTATAATAACGTTTCAGTATCTTTCTCAAATATGCATTATAAATTTTCAGTTTAACTCTAGTTTGTAAAAAGTACCAGATTATGATGCTATATTTTGCAAGTGAATCATATGTAAATTTAATAATGACAAATAATCTTCATTATTTTACATTTCCATTTTGGAGGAAATCTAACCTGTGGTGAAAATTGAAACTGCAGCCAATTTATGCCAGATACAGTATTCCATTGATCTTTTATAATATAACAACCCGATGCTTATCAAAGTGACTCATACAAAAATGATATTCAATTAAGAATATTTTACAAGAAGTTTGTGTCACTAATCTAATAAGCAAATAATGCTTTGAACAGATACAATGCGTATCTTCGCTATAGATTTCCCTCTTATTGATAAATTATCACCTGTATCAGAAATAATATATATATATATATATATATGTAAAAGATAAAATTCTATAGTAGCACAGGGCAGGACTAGTGGCCCAGCGGTTAAGATCGCTGAGTACTGGTAATGCAACTATATTTAAGCGAAAGGGTTAGCTGCATAGTTGGTTTTCGTACTTTTCCTCATGTGTAACTTGAATACTAGCCAGTTTTCCTTAGAAAGTTCACCACGAAGACATCCATCTTCTCAGATAAATTACCCTTGTGTAGGGACGGCGCGAGAGTTTTTGGCGCCTGCCTGCATGCGAATTCAAAAATGGCGCCTTTCAGGAATTTTTAATTTTCAGTTTCTTCGTGCATTACAGGAAATTTGGAGGGAGGGCAGGGAGTTATCAAGCAATAAAATCATACTTGAACAATAACTATTACGCACATTTTTGTGGGATTTCTTTAAATTACTAATTTACACAAAAGTAATTTTCATTTCCTTGCTGTTCAAGACAGGCTTTTTTTGGACGTTGTTATGTATGATTTAATTTTTAACATTCAAGTTGATATTGAAAATGATCATTCTACGATTACATCAACATGTTTAATAAAAAATATTTTAAATTACATCGCTAAGTGTTAAATTATTAAGATAATGGCTCTAAGTTTTTTAATTTATCTTTGTTGTAGCTATCTCTTTATCTCTTGGCAAATTTCAATCCTATCGTGATAAACCTAAGTGAAGGCACACTTTACATTTTCGCGGGGGGGGGGACGTTGTAAAATTCATTATTATTATCAAAACGTATATCATTTATATAATCTTTGGAATATTATAAAGATAACTACAAAATGTTAAATTAATATTAATAAACTTACAGAACAAAATATAACATTTCAATCCATCAAAATAAAAAAAAAAAAATGAAAACACAATGATGAATACATCAGAATAAAATGCAATCAATAACTTTATGGTGAATCCTCTGTTTCTGGCAACAGCCTTGAGCTTATTTGACATGGAATTCGCCAGTATTTTCGTTGTTTAAGAAGAAATGTTGTCCTATTGTGGAAGAAACCTTTTCATAGGGCCTAGATTCAGTATGTCGTGTTTCTTTAGCCTGCTGTCAAGTTCTTCCTGCAAAAGCTCCGTGGGATTTAAGTCAAAAGACTGAGTTGGATGATTAAGAGTACAGGGTCGTATGATAGAGAAACCATAGACGGATAATGGATGGATGGGAGGCTTGGGGTTATTACCCTGTTGCAAGTAGAACTTGTTACATAAATAAAGCTTAAGGGTTATAAGGTATTTCTCCCGCCTTTTTAGCGTGCCTTCGGGGTGTAGTGGTCAACACGCTGGGCCAGTGTTGCCGGAAAATTTTCAACTAAAGTAGCAAAAGGAGACTAAAAATGTCACAAAAAATCGCAAATGACGTCAGGGATCACGTAGTTTTTGTGACGTCATAGTTATGCATGCTCACATGACCTCTGACGTCATCACAAAATTAATGTCTATTGTTTCTACAATATTCTTCTATGTATTCGATTCTTAGTCGTTTTAATTACGTATCTTA